TCTGCTCACCTCCCGGCTGCTGGCTGACTCTCTGAGCCGTGTCTGTGGTGGCTACACCATGTGTGGGGATCTAGGGGTTTAAAACAGCAGGCCTCCCATACTCCCTGAATGGCAAATATAAGTGCTTACAATTTATTACACAGTGGACGTTTTATGAATCATCTCTTACTAAGTTTGATCTGAGATGACAAGCATGCGCTAATCAGTCCCAGCATAAAAATATATGTAAAAAATATATTTAATCAAGTTAACAGGTGACTGCATCTGTTCAAATTTACAAATTCATCCCATTTAACCAAAGCTGCTATTAGAAATGTTGCACTTTACCTGACCCTTTCACTGTCTCCTCAACTATATAAATTAAACCTGTGCTGCAAGTTCACTCATTTGTTCCTCTGGGGAAATGATAAACTGGTACAAACATTGCTACAGACAGTTAAAGTAACAGTTTACTGGGACTCTGAAACAGGAAGTCCCGATCAAACCTCCATGAAATACTGTATAGTAACCGTTTCCATATCCAAAGCAGTCATATCACATTACAGTATCATTTCACACATAACTGTGAACTCCTCTAATATCAGATAGAAAAACAGGGAGACAGATGTTGAATCAAAGTAGCCCTGCTGTTAAAACATACAGTTAACTGGAATTGAGGAGGGGGGTCTTTAATTTAAATGTTACTGCCGAAAGCTTTATAATTTCGTATTTACTATAACCTGCAGTTTGCATTAATTTTGTTTCACTAAAGTCTCATTTAAGAGGCTCCCTGCAGCATTTTCCCTTTCCTCCCTTTCAATATTTTTTTTTTTTTTATCGGAAAAAGGCTTTAAACTACATCACTCTTACTAAAACACAAATTACAACTTTCACTTTATAGGTTGCTATACCACACCACACTTAGTTAACAAAATATTTTACAAACAAGATGATATCACCCTCTCCATGATATTAATATGATATGTTCTCTGATCTGTAAACAGCTGGTTATCTTGCTTTTCCACGATAAGAGAAACTGCTGAGGATTTACGCTTGGTGAGCACATTTGGGCTGAATCTTTCACACGTCACAAATTGCAGATGGGAAGCAGTGATCTTGAACAGCCGATCACATTTCCGTGACCATCTGACACCTTCCATTTAGGAAAATAATACTTTCTATCTTAGCATACCCCTCTGCAGCAGCCAGCAAAAGGAATTATGCCTGGTAGACTTTGCTATTCACAACTTTGGAGCTTCTCCTTTTGTTTTGTTTCATTGCACTGATTAGATTAAATGTTCACTCTTTAATCAGTTATTCAGGGCCACAATAATGTCTACAGATTCTGTTGTTTAGTTTTATTTTTGCGTGTTGTTATATGCACAAAATCACAGTGTTATAAGTGATGAAAAAATGTACTGTAATGTAAGCATTACACAGAAAGTTGTGCATTAGCTGAGAGTCAAATAAAGAGCTTATTATACCACTGCACTGTACGGAGTAGCTGTTCAGTGACTGGGATCTTTGTGTACCATTTTTTGAGCAGATATCTCACTGAAAACTCATATTATTATGAACTACAGTATTTAAATCTCATGTAACTGCTGTTATTTACTCTAATATTTCCTCCTCTTGTGTTCCCAGCATAATAAGAACAAAAAAGATGTAAAGACTTTTTACCCATAGAGGTAGATATGGTATCTGAGTAATATGACAGATAAATATGAGTCGGGTTAACTGGTACAGAGAGTTGTAAATCACTGTAGTGTGATTCTTTGTCTCAAAGGGTTTAATTAGTCTAGAAATTCTTCTCTTATCTGATGACCCCCCCCCCCCCCCTCCCTCTGCACACTGCAACAACTTACAACCATAAACGCCCTGCAATCTGAAGACCAGTGGCCTCAGGAGACTGAGTTGCTACAAAGAGCTGAAAGAGTTGGAAATGGTCATTTTATTGCGTTAGAATAGCTCGCTCGAGACTTGGGTAATGTAGTGCTAACTGGGAGCAAGTAACGATAACAGTATGTGACTCCGAAGTGAAATAAAGTGAACTACTGTAATGCACTGCAGTGACAAGTGCTTTGAAAATGAGGCAACACAATAATAACAGTAAACAACAATACAAACGGCTTTCTTAGTGGTTTCAAACCACTAATTAATACTACAGTATTATAGTTTTCCTTCAGTGATGATAATTATTTGAGATGCAGTGCACAATCTAATCAGTCATCTCCCACAGTTCATGTAGAATGAATTTGTTCAGTATAACTACAAGTGGAGGATACGCATGCTTGTCAAACACTCAAGCATCAAACAATGTCCTGCTTCCATCTATTATGAATGCTACCTATATGTGGCCTGTTATTGCTTCAACTGTAGCATGGTGTTGCTCTATTTCATAGTACATGAACAAACCCATTTATCCTTATCTGTCATTTCATAACTTGTGAGGTATCTGTCACTTCTGGTCCCACGGGAGTCCTGCATGTAAGTTTGTTTTTTTTTTTTTTACTCTAATTGAGCTCTTTACTTAAGTGACAGTTTATTCTGTCCTAATAAGTCAAATCTAACTGTGTTTGATTGGATTTCCAGGTGTGTTGTTTTCTTTGTTTTGAACCTGCAACCATCCGGTGTCAACCTACTAATGATCAGGATGACATCACCTGATTATTCATGTACAGTGTCATAGGAAGGATACAATCTTAATTCATATAATGAAAGTAGATATCTTTCTATCCGGGTTTTAAACTGTACAGAACTGAGGGGAGTTTGCATACTGTGGTGACAGTAAACAAAGTGATATGGTAGCAACTAGACTTATAATACAGGACTGAAACTACCAGGTGGCTCACAGTTTTGGTTGTTTGCGACACAGTACTTGGTGTAATCCATAAAATCAAGTGGACAATCATATAAGACAACAAGGAATCTTTTTTTTCTTTTTTTTACCATGCCTTGTGAACTTAGAAGGGGTCTTGGAGGAGAAAGTGTGGACTCTAAATATACAACCGGGACTTTCACATACAACACACTACTGTGCACCAATGGATGTTGTATTAGGTTTCAACCCTTTGTGTTTACAGGCCTGCAGCTATAGGCCTCCAGGTTGTGACACAATGAACTGATCAGACAAGATACTAGCACATGGACACACTGTATATTGTGTTAGACTTTATTTTTCTGCATGTTGTTTTATAACTTTACATCACTTCGGTTATGTTTTGTGTTTCATAGTGTTATTTGGCCAGATGCTTTTCTCGCATGTGAAATGAAGAAGGATCTTTTACATGCTTTAATTCAACATTATAAACATAGTGAGGACATGGTGGTGTATGTTGTATTTATAATACAGATGCAAAACTTGAGTTTGTGTAGAGCACCTTCTTTTGAAGGACTAGCAGGAGCAGAATGAGATGAGGGGTTATTTTGGCGATGGAGATTAAGGCAGGGGCTTTTTGTCATTTGTGCGAGACAAGCCATTCATCCATCCAGTTCACAGCCAAAAAAAGGCTGGTCCCAGAAATTAGCAGTTTCAGCTCAGCAGCAAAGTCGTCGGGCTGTGAAGGCAGAGAGAAATTGACTAATTAGCAATGCGCACTAAAACTTGACGGTTCTCTCTATAACAGCGAGGGAAAGACTCGGTTTTTCTCCCCCTTTCTCTTTTCTTTCTTCCATAGATGTTTGAAATCGCAGTCATTTACGCTCGACAGTTTTTACAATAGCCTTGAGCCATAATTTTGCGAGTCTCTCCAGCATCCATACCCCTGCATGGTCTCTCTCCACCGGCCATGCACGACCGTTTCTCTCCCCAACCGTGGATTTCCTATTACTCTCGTTACGACTCACTGAGCCCCAGGCCCAAGGATAATGATGTGTTGTTTCTTGGTAGCATAATTTGTCACACGTATATTTCTTCTTCTTCTTCTCTTGCAGAAAGCACAGCTCCCTCTCACACACTCACACACTTCTTGTTAATTCAGAAGAACAAATGATCAACGTCAACAAATAACCTGAAATAGTGACTTTATGAGTTGGAATCAATGGTTATTTTGAGACACCACCGACCATAGACTTTAAAGGAAAGGACATTTCTTAAAAGGAGAACAAAGGAAAATTCAAGTGAGATTATTGGGAACCTGAAGCTTACTTTCTTTTTTTGTCAAGAGCTGAAGTCAGGTAAGTTTGGCTCCTTCTCAGGCTCAAGCTGCTCACATCATTTAGTTGTGACAGGCGCTTTTAGTGAATCTGGCGACAACGTTACAGCACGCTTGTGTCAAGTTTGCACACATTACGCACATAGAAATAGCTTTTGTTCTTGCTAAGAAACATTACAGATGCATATTGCATTTAACTTTACCGAAAGCTGCATTTCAGTGAATATTTTTCGATACTCACGTACGCGTAACTCAGGTAGACTAAAAGCGAAACGCACCCATACTGCTGCTGACGGCTCGGAGACAAACTAATTGCTTTTGTGTGACTCCGTAAATCTGTGCGATGTGTAATGTCCTCATTGTGGGGGTGTGCAGCAAGATAGGAGAAGGGATAAGTGTTAGCTGAATGCTGCATGTTATCCGTCCACCGTAGCGGTTGTCTCTTTTTTCCTGATCCGACAACTTCAGCCGCGTTACCGAGGGGGGAAAGCGCTGCAGCATCTCCGTATCCTCGTTTTGTTTTGACAGCGCCCTTCAAAACCTCAGCCTCCATTTAAATCATCTTGTTCTTCAGTTAAGAATGAATAAGAGTGGCACGCTGTGGGAACTACTGCGTTTTTGTTTGTTGCTTTACGACCAGGGCTCAAAGTTGAAAGCGACTGAAGCCGTATTGGATGTAGATTTTCGCCGGCTGGCATGGCATCATGGTTATTCCCCGCTGGATGGACGTGCGATCTGTTCAATAACTTATTCCAGAAATCGTTTCCTATTGTAATAGTTGACTGATAGCATCTGTAAGAGCTACGTGTGTTGTGCAAATAAATGACCTGAGGTAAATGGCTTGCATGGTTTATTTGTTGCCTAGGTGGCGTTCACAGTCAGGAAGTCATGTCCAGATCGGGTGATAGAACATCCACCTTTGACCCAACACACAGTGACACCCTGCTGCATGGGCTCAATCTCTTATGGAGAAAACAGCTTTTCTGTGATGTGACTCTCACTGCCCAGGGACAGCAGTTCCACTGCCACAAAGCTGTGCTGGCATCCTGCTCCCAGTATTTCAGATCTCTCTTCTCCTCCCATAATGCAATCAACAATGAGGGGAGCAAAGGGGACCAGGGCAGCAGTGGGACCCCCTCATCCTCTCCTGATGACAAGCTGGTGACCCCCAGTGCCAGGCCCATCAATAACCTGGTACTTCAGGGCTGTTCCTCCATTGGACTGCGATTAGTGCTGGAGTACCTCTACACTGCCAATGTGACTCTTTCCCTGGACACAGTGGAAGAGGTGCTGTCAGTCAGCAAGATCCTCAACATCCCCCAGATTACTAAACTCAGTGTGCAGTTCCTCAACGACCAGATCTCTGTGCAGAACTACAAGCAGATCTGCAAGATTGCTGCACTCCATGGACTGGATGAGACCAAGAAGCTGGCCAACAAGTACCTGGTGGAGGATGTGCTCTTGCTGAACTTTGAGGAGATGTGTGCCATGCTAGATGCTCTGCCACCCCCAGTGGAGTCAGAGCTGGCTCTCTTCCAGATGTCAGTTCTCTGGCTGGAGCATGACCGGGAGACTCGCATGCACTATGCGCCAGACCTTATGAAGAGGCTGCGCTTCGCCCTCATACCTGCCCCAGAGCTGGTGGAGAGGGTGCAGTCTGTTGACTTCATGAGGAGTGACCCTGTGTGCCAGAAACTACTCCTGGATGCCATGAACTACCACCTGATGCCCTTCAGACAGCACTGCAGGCAGACCATGGCCAGCAGGTGAGAAAAAGACAAACAGAGACACACACACACACATACAGCATTGAGAGTGGACGGAAAGTGATTAAATGCCTCCCACTCGTTAAATTTGAACAAATTGCAGACTCAAGTATTGCCCACTCACTCAAGTATTGGTCCCACCGTGTAGTCTAGACCATGTACTGTAGGTGGTCAGTCAGAGGTGTGAGGTTTGAGGCCCAGTTAATGAGGATTGGGGGTGGGGGTAGGGGGGTGGGGGGGTTTCCTGTAAAAGAATGCCAGCTGTCAGGGGGGGTGATCTACTCTATGCTACACTGTATCCATAATTACAAGGTTACCTTATGTTTTAGTGAAGAAAAAACAACTCTTTATTTCCTCACACATCTGTGTAATTGCTCTCTAATCAGTGTCGACAAGATGCAGCAAACTAGATAAAGGTTATGCATTTGATTTGTGGGAAGTCTCATGAATACAATTTGAAATGCTATAATTAAATTGCTACCAGAATTACATAGAAATTACTTAGTAATTCTGATGTAACTACAATGATACCCTGGCCCTGATATCACAATAAACAGAAATATAATACAGTCAAAAGGGAATTTAGAGCATTTGAGTGTGTATTATATTTTAGAAACTGCAGCATTCATTTTCATTAAGGGACAATCGGGCAGTGCTTCTTATTCAGGTTAGATGCATGTGTCTCACTCACACACAAAAATAGGCCAAGCAGCATGGTTTACCTCCATGTTTGTCCTGATCAGCACTTTAAGGGGCTGGTAAGTAGACAGGCGTTATCAGTAAGCTGATTGATTGGCGGTGCTGTTGTCAGATTTTGTTTGCAGAGCTGACTATAGCAAGATGGTCAAGGCTGAAAATGTTTTGAGCAGTGATGGCATCAGTATTCAAATATTTCAATTGGTGTGTATGTCTGTGAGGAGAGGAAAAATAAAGCTGTGGCATTAGAGAATTGAAACTTGAAAATCAAATTTTGCACAATAAATCGAAAAGTAGGATCATTTTACATGTAGCTATTCCTACATTATCCCAATAACATATCTATTCCCACATATGGACCTAAATGAGCAAGGAATCAGGAATCCTCATAATTAGTTTCACATGCCGCTGTTTCTCTCCTCTCAATTAATCACTATTATCTATGTCCAGGGGCTCATTTGCATATGAATAACCCCAAAACACTTCCGAGTGGGCCGGTAGCAGGGAGAATGTACCGAGACAATGGTGATTTACCCAAGCATAAAAAAGTAAAATATGAAAAAGGGAAAAAAGGTGAACGTGTCTGAATATAAAGGCCAGCTACTCTTAATCTTTTTGCTGCATATTGTGATTAATTGGTAGATTTGTGTTAAAATCCATTAGGAGCCAGATAATGCTCATTAATGTAGAGTAAAGTGTGCAGCTTTGAGTGTATATATCATATACAAACAGCAGGAAATATCTCACAACTGACTCAGGGATGTCACATGAATCACCGTAGCCAATGAAATGGAGACATTGTATAGGCAGGTTTATATACTCAATTGCGCTTTTAGCCTCCAGCATGGCACCCTGCAGGATCGTCCTCGCTTCACAGCTAATTGAAAAGATATCTTTGGAGTACAATAACCGTTCAATAACACATCAAAAGGATAAGTGCGCTGTTGAGCAATTTTATGTTAATTATAAAAAACGTGGCCACACATTGCCTGATTAGTAGTCTCAACTTAAGTAGTTGTACTTGGACAAGGTGCAGTTATTCATTTAACCATCCATTTATTCGTATTTCATTCAGTGATTAATTCATTCACACACTGAGCATTTGAAAGGTGAAAAATCTAAATACCCTGGCAAAGAACTGTTAATACTATTAAAGGTGTCCAGGTGCAGGTTGTACTTATTTTGTCCTTTGGATGTTTTATTTCAAGGCTTAATACCTGTTTTGTTTTCTGTTTCCTAACACTTGTCCACACACCCACACTTTTGACATTACAGAATCCGTTCCAATAAGAGAATGCTGTTACTGGTGGGTGGTTTGCCTCCTGGACCTGATCGTCTCCCCAGCAATTTGGTCCAGTACTATGACGATGAGAAAAAGACATGGAAGATCCTCACAAGTGAGTTGCACAGGCTTTGCTGCCTTTTTTTTTTTTTTTTTTTTTACCTGGGGCATCTTGTGTTCGTGGCTTTTATGATGAGAAATAGTTGTTCCTATGGATGACTTTAACACAGGTTAATTTCCACGGAAAATGAGGGGAAGGAGTTCCCTAAATCCTTCAGGTAATAATGTATCACTATCACTTTTAATATAAGTTTTTAATCAGAGCGTGACTTCACAGCACTGTGGAGCTTCATGCCCGGTTTCTCTTGTTTTTGCTGAAATATGCTGGCAGGATGCATGATGAGATTTACTTGAATCTAATGATCTATTGTGGCAGAGATAGAACAATAATGAATGACATCTTTCCTCCATAGCATTTTAATGTAGCGTGATTATTCGCTCACGTTGATCAATACATAAGATTGAATTGCCCCATACATACTAATACTCAGTATGGAATTAACCTGTTGACCCGGTGTCACTATTGATATCAGGTTTATGTAAGGTAAAGCAAATGCCACAAGATACAGTCAGGAGGACAGCAGCTGTAGTGTGTATACACACAGTTAAAATGGATAATGATTTTAATAGACTAAAAAAAAAAAACAAACAAGATAAAAGTAATAAATAAAAGCAATAAAAGAAAATAAAGATGTATCTCATGACCTATAGGCATTTATGCCAGGATACAGTTTATGATATTGATTTCATGATGTCATATTGAAAGCAAGTTGTCATAATTTCACAAAAAACTATTCTATTGAAAAAAATGTTGTGTCCACAGAGAACATGTCTGAAGTCTTTGTGAGTTTACAAACACATCCCCACAGCACTCACCTCTGTAAACTGTACCATGCTCTTTTTTTCTCTCTGTCTTCCCTGACCTTTTAAGGCTCACCACTATATTGTTGCCATATTGCAAAGGTCAAAGAAGAGCTAATGGGAAACCATATTTGTCCTTTGCATCATCATTGCCGGACATATCGAGTTTTTGTCCTTTTGTCTTGGTTGGAGTCATATCTCAGCAGCGTCTCTCCATTCGTACATATTAGCCACAGGTCTGTTTTCTGTCAGCTCAGTGTGTGCAGTTTATATTCTCACTTTATGGAACGAGTTTTTGATTCCGGTGTGATGTTTCTGTTGGTGCGTCTCAAATTCACCAACGGCCTTGGACTATGGTTTATTCTGGTATCTCAAATCATAGCATTTCTGTGCAATCATCTGTTATTTTAGCTCCTGTTTGTCTAAATCTTTCACGGTGCATTTTACTGAAGGAGGCATGCATATACAATAGCCTGAAGCCCACTGGTGTTTATATTGTCATTTTCTCATTAAACTCACACTCCTGGGTATAAACTGCAGCAAAGAAAAGGTCAATAGGGATTTCCATCACTCAGAACTAAAAAGTTAACACTCAAATGGTCCGTGGCCAAGTGGAGGGACAAAACTGCAAAATCATCCCCTTAACACATCAGTGACCATCTGATGTAGCCTCCACACAATGGATGTGGAATAGAAGATTATTAACATTCAATCATAACTTTTCAATGAGGCGAAACCTGAGAGGGACAGCCTTTGATTAAGACATTCATCAACACAATTTGGGAAGAATCTGATCCCTCTTGTTGTGTCAGATATATCTGCTGCTCGGTGATTCTAGTGTAAAGTTTGCCATCTAGTGTACCCACAGCAGCGTGGACGAACACAAGACAAAGGCAGGCACAGGCTCAGACACAATACTGGACCATTCTCCTATTCTTCTTCTTTAAATCAACCTGATATTAAAATCTAACATGTGCAAATGGACCTCATCCATGCAACATGGCCTAGAACAAAGGAATTCAGCTCAGTGGGATGCAATTGTAATGGTGTTAAAGGCACGTCAGAGCTCGAGCAGCAGTGGTGCATTAGCTGTGGAGTCATTCAACCGACCCCGACTGTGCTTCTATGCAGAGGTTTCTGACTCCCTCTAGTGAGCCCTAGAGCTCACTGTAGACTGGAGTGATGGCGTCCATCTCGTGGAGGACGTGCTCATCCTGCCCTCCTTTGGCTGTTCACCCCTGGGGCTAGTGGAAGATTTAGGGGGAGAGGGGACAAATATGCAGACTGATTTCATACTCTTTCACAGGTGATAATTCACAGTCAAGTCTTACACATTGTACAGGGGAAATAATTGGTTTGTTGTTTTATTTTTTGCACTGCACAAGACTAGTAGAGTGGTGTACAGTTATTATAACATGGTACTTATCCCGCTGTTCACTGTATCTGTGGCACCTGTAGAGGCAGGGCAAATGTCCCAAGTCTCCCCACAGTACTCCTCATACTGTAGCCTGTGACATACTGTAAAGCAATAATCTTCTTTTCACGTGGGTATGAAATGATTTTTAGTATGAGTACAAGTCACTAGACATCAAATAAAAAGCCAGCCATCCATGTCCTATATACTGCTGACTGAATGATAATGGTAAATGGTAAATAGCATGTACGGGAATTTGGCAGTCATATGGCACTCGTCTTTGAGGTGCACTGGAGGCAAGCAACCTAATCCCCTCGTTCAAGATAAAGCTGTGTTTAGTGTATGTAGTATTAGTTCCTATCTGAGACTCCCCTCCCATAGAAAGGACCGGCACATGTCAGCCAGCCAGAGTGAGATTGCAGGGAGAGGCCAATAGGAAAGAAATGAGATTCAAGGCTGTCTAATTTTGCAGCAACTGTGATCCATCAGGCGGTGGGGAGGTGACAGTGGAAATGACTGATGGAGACAGACAGGTGGGCTTTAACATTTCACTGATTTGTGCTCAAAAAGCACCGGGCCTGAGATTTATTGAGTGAACACGATCATGTTCATTATGACTGTCACCTAAGACCATTTCTCTACATCTCAATGGGGTCACTTCAGCAAAAGAAGATGGAGGAGAGGAGGGGAGCACAAAAACATACACAAGGGAATATCCTCCATGAGGGGGTCCTGCTGCAGCTGTGGGCATGTAGCTGGTTATGCTAACTTGTGCTGAGAAAATGAGCGGTGTGGTACACTGAAGATTATATTTATTGGATGTACTTGGTTGCTAGATGAATAGTTGCTGTGGCATATTAATGCTAGATGAAGAGAAAAGGAAAAGTGTTGCACTGTGAGAGTCAGTCCTTAGAGTACTCACTGGCAGGTAAGTTAAGTCTCTAAAATAGAAACTCGTTTACCATAACAGAGAGAGAGAGAGAGAGAGAGAGAGAGAGAGAGAGAGAGATAGATAGATAGATAGATAGATAGATGATAGATAGATAGATAGATAGATAGATAGATAGATAGATAGATAGATAGATAGATAGATAGATAGATAGATAGATATTGTCATAACAAACAGTAGCCTGTTTACCCTGCCTCATACTTTCATTTGTTCCAGTTTAAGAGCCAACAGGCTTGATTCCCCACAAGAAATCACTTCCTGTAGATGGATGAATGGAAGGTTGCAAAACAAAAGCAATGAGGAGGGACCATAAATCATATAACATTGACTCCGACTGAGGATTGTGAAATAGAAGTTTGGCTGTGTCATTACAACAAGCACTCTGGCCTGTTGTTAAGAGTAACACTGCAAATTAAATCAGTCTCCACATTAATATGTACTATGAGCACCCCCTATCAAACAACAGGACACTCAGCATCGCAAGTAATAAAAGCAGTCACTGAATGGGAAACACTGCCTTTACAAATATTGCTTATTAAAAAGTTAAGATAACATTTTGTAGATGTTCTATAAATAGAAGCCTTGTTTAATTGTGACTAACATCTGTTGTCCAGACCAGTAGACCTACATCAGGGATCGGCAGTTGGGTGGGACAGTTTTTTAAGCTTTGTTCAGTGTAATTTTACAGGCACAGTTGAGATGCAGGCCTAGTGTATATGTTTGAGTATTATTTGAATTCATTTAAGAATTAAATGAATTTATAAAATTGTTAGTTTTAAGGTGTAACTCCCATTAGTACTACCGGTAAGTTGGCAGTTTATTAGGTACACCTATTTGAAACCAATGCAGTTTGATACAATGGTCCTAATAAATCCTCCTTTATGAAGGTTATAATATTAAATTTTTATTGAAACTGTTTTAGAGAGGTGCTCACTCGACTGTATGATAAGTTTGGTGGATGGAGTTTGTGGTGCTGTTGAACTGTATTGCATTATACAGAGAGGTCTTTCTGTTATTTAGCTTACCCTCATTGATATAAATGGGGTGAACAAAATAATAGAAACATCTGCTCGTATAACACAATACAATTCAACAGCACCCCAAACTCAAACCATTGAATCAACACCTCTCCCAGAGACTGCATTAGGTTTGGCTAGGTGTGTCTAACAAACTGCCATCTGAGTGTATTTGTGTTTGAGAGACACAAATCTATAATGGTCAAATAGGTTAAAGTAGTGCAATTAAAGCTGTTTTAATTCTGGGCCTATCAAAGGGAAAATGTTCTTTTTCCTCAGGGGGCCAAATATTCTTCATGGAGGGCCAGGTTTGGCCCTTAGGTTGCTATTTGCCTGCCACTGACCCATACCATTGTCATGTTCCTGTGACTAACACCTTTGATTTTTGTGTCTCATTTAGTAATGCCTTACAACAGTGCCCATCACTGTGTGGTGGAGGTGGAGAACTTCCTGTTGCTGCTGGGCGGAGAGGACCAGTGGAACCCCAACGGTACTGTAACACCACAGAATGAATGAATGCTTTTCAGTGCCTACACACAGCAAATTAACCAGTGTTTACTTAATATAGAGAGCGCTCTTAGCCAGTGTTTGTGTAAGTTCAAACTCATCAGAGTTAATGTTGCACTTTCAGATAGTTTCAAACGCACTTCCTAGAGCCAGATCAGATCTGAGTGGACAAACAACACTTGTCAATAATTGGCACAGAAAAATAACTGTTATTAACGCTGAAATATTTGTGGTGTGGAAGTGTCAAGAGTGATTTTGTGAAACTGTGGTAAAATATATCCATGATAAGAAAGATAATTTAAGACTTTTTGAACAAAACTACATCAGTCTATGACTTAAAAAACAAGCCTTCAGCCAGCACTTGTTAACTCTAAGTGCAGTGAAAAGGAGCACATATTAACACTGAAAATCAGCATGTGTGGGTGGTGATTTTCAGATAATATGTTTATTTTTAAATCAAGACTTGCAGAGTCGCAGTTTTGCATTTTATTGGTATGTAACAAAAACTTTGCCAATTAGAAGAGAGCACTACTTAAACTATACTGCACTGTAAAAAAGCTTCTCACTCAACTAAATCATGGTTGTAATCAGTTTCACTGATCTTGATTTCTATCTCTTTTTCAGGAAAGCATAGCACTAATTTTGTGAGCCGCTATGATCCCAGATTCAACAGTTGGATACAGTTGCCCCCTATGCAGGAGAGGTGAGCCTTTTTTGTATTTGAATACGGAATCCTTCTTTCATGCATTCATTTATATTGCTTTATATTTGATTTTTTTTTATTAATTTTTATATTCATTGCTATGTGGACCATTGGTTTTGTTTAAATGTGCTTTAAGTTTATGTTTACCAAAGGGCAATATACAGTACTATATACATCTGAGGATGCAGTAAGAAACTGCAGGACTCTTAAACTGTACAAACACCGGTTGTCTTCTGTTAATTGATAAAGAAAACAAACAGGATATTTGAAATCCTTAGAATTTTTACCAGATTTTTATTTACATGTGTAAATATATATATATATGTGTGTGTGTGTTTTCTATTGCTCTAAACGTCTTAGCTGTGATCTTTTTCCTGAATAATTTCCACCTCAGAAACTAAAAAATCCTACAATGGATCTTGTCATTGCTGGTTTAATGATGTTGTCTGGTTGACACTTCCTCCTCAGGAGAGCCAGTTTCTTTGCCTGCCGCCTGGATAAGCACCTGTACGTGATTGGTGGTAGGAACGAGACAGGCTACCTCTCCAGCGTGGAGTCCTACAACCTCGAGACTAATGAGTGGAACTATGTGTCGTCTCTGCCGCAGCCTCTGGCCGCCCATGCAGGAGCAGTACATAACGGCAAGATCTACATATCAGGTCAGGAGAGAACCCGTCACAATTATCCTGTATACTTTTTTTTTTTGTTAAAAAGGTACCTGATGTGCAATGATGTCCACTAAAACATGACCATAAGTAAATGGCAGAAGATAATTAGCAATATCAATTAATAATCTTTATTATCACAGCTGGAAACTTTGCTATACAGTCATAATATTATACTTCTATTCAACTACAGTTCAGAGGGAAATATTGAACTTTTTACACCATTACATTTATTTCACAGCTGTAGTTACTGGTTATGTTGCAGAGTAGTATTTTATATATAAAAAATGTGATCAGTTTATAAAATCAAATGCATTGTTTACATTAAATTACCCAACAGTATACTATATGATTGTTTAACTAGCCTTTCTCATAACCCCTATAACATTAAATGTGCTCCTTACATAATAATTCATCCACATTATTTTCCATATTGTGGTATTTCTACCTTAACTTAAGTAAAATTGTAAAAGTGGCATCTTGTGTTAGATGTTAACATAGACAAAATATCACAAGCTGGGTTAAAAAAATGTACTTGAAATTACTATTCATGCCGTATGTTGTGTGGTTTATAGGTTAATTATTTTTTGTGATATATTTCAATATGGCAACTCTGGTAATTGTTCGGTTCAGTAATAAAAAAAATACATTTTTTAATAAGTACTGTCATTGATCAAGTTTGCCTCATACAGTACCATATTACATGAGCAGCCAGTGCATCTCCTTACACTATGTATTTCAAAACGGTAATAAAGACATAGTGCTGTGTTTACCGGTTGCAGGAGGAGTACACAATGGAGAGTATGTGTCCTGGCTCTACTGTTACGACCCTATAATGGACGTGTGGGCTCGGAAACAGGATATGAACACAAAGCGTGCCATTCATGCCCTGGCTGGAATGAATGACCGCCTGTATGCTATTGGTGGAAACCATTTGAAAGGTAAGTGCTCGAGCGTTTCAGGAAAAGAGATACTGCCATTATCATTAAAACACATTGCATTTGCTATTTACTACACTGAGTAATGAAATGTGCTATATTGATTGATATTTTTTGTACATGGCAAAAGCAGAAACTTGCAGATTTAATCAAACAGACTTCAGAGGCCCTGAGAATCAAGAGGAAAGAAAAATGTTTTAGACTGATCCAGGTCTCGATGTTTCATTTCTTAGTTTTCTACAGTAGAAATGTGACATTGAAGTCCCGCCCACTTAAAAACCAGTAAGAAAAGCGCAGAGAAAACAGCACACACAGAAATAACCAAAACTGTTCTAACATTGGCAGAACATTTTCTGTTCACATAGGAACCCATCTGGCAGAGTAAGAGGCTAACTGGATTGTTGGACTGTAAAGTCAAATAACCAGCTTATTACTATGACCTGGACTAACAATATTGGGGCCTATTAAATTCATGTGATACACTAAGTACATCATTTTAACACAGTTGTCTTCCTCCTCTCACAGGTTTCTCCCATCTAGACGTGATGTTGGTTGAGTGTTACGACCCGAAAGCTGACCAGTGGAACATCCTGCAGACACCCATCCTGGAGGGTCGCAGTGGCCCAGGCTGTGCTGTTCTGGATGACAGCATCTTCCTCGTGGGGGGCTACAGCTGGAGCATGGTACTGTATATATTTTTTTTTTTACAGATTTACAGATTAGATTATTTTACATTAAAGAATAAGGCTTGGGATATTCTATATTTTGTCACTGTCAACATATCCTGTGAAAAAGAAACAACTGACTGTGTTCACATGCGCATGAACATGGCGTTACATGGAACATGAAACGTCTGGTTATTCGTATCGCTGTATAGATGATCAAAACAGCAATAAGGTTTCTGATCATGTGTGTGCAGATTTTTTATTTCTCGCCATCATCTGTGTTCTAACAACAATGAATGATCAGGAACCTGCATGAAGTGTTTACATGCTACAGTATCCTGGTGGCATGTAAACACTCTAATCACTGGTACTCTATCAGAGTACTTTAAGTAACATATACAGGTTTCTGAAAGCGGGATATGATGTTTACGTGCACAACAGATAACCGAGGTACTCCAAAAACCTGATTATAACCAGGATGGTACTGCACATGTAAACTGACTCTATGGCTAGTACAAATTTTAACTTAAATTTTGAGGAAGTCAGCAAAAGAAGATACAAATTAAAACATATTTGCATCCACTACCATTATGTGAATATTAGTAGTTGCTGTGGCACTAGTTTTCCACACTGTCTTTTTTTTCAGCTCATATTAAAGATATGTATAAAACTTGTGGATGGAAACCCATCTAAGGTTTTAGTCCAACTCTCAATAAGAGAGTCACAGGTCATGAATATATACTTTCATGTTCCTAATTTCCTGGGTAGTGTAGTTTTTAGCAGATTATATCCAGATGGGAATAAGTAGTGGGAACAGTGTGGCATACTGATGTGTTTTGAATCATTTTTGGACAATAATGGAGCACTATGGCACGGACCAATAAACTACATCTGGCTACAGAGGAAGTAGTTATTGTTATCAGTTAGTTGGTTTTAGTCCTTTCATGGAATTTGTTGACAAAATATAGAAAGCCACCAGACTTTCCCTTTAAATATGTGCCTGCTGTTTTTGATCACATGCATTTAAAAACCTGAGTTTTTACATCCCTTAGTTAGAAATCCAAACAGCACTAAGAGGAATGAAGAAAATGACTTGATTTTCTTTTTTCCCCAGGGGGCCTATAAGTCTTCTACCATCTGCTACAGCCCAGAAAAAGGAACATGGACAGAGTTGGAGGGAGAGGTGGCAGAGCCTTTAGCAGGCCCAGCCTGTTCCACTGTCATACTGCCTGCCTGCCTTCCTTTTAACAAATGACAACTAATCCAACCAACGGGCGGTGGGGGCGAGAAGCAGCAGAGTGACTGGGGGGAGGACCATCAATAAGCAAAACAGTTGTCAACAATTTTGTGACAAACCCTTCGGTCAGATGACGAGGGTGTGTATAAATTATTTTTTTACAGGTTTGACCAGAGCACTTTCGTTATTCCCTACTGAAGGTTTGAAAAAAAAAAAGAAGAAAATTGTGTAACTCATGTATTTAAACTCATCTGTGTTATGAGAAATGGTCAGTTTCATATTTGATTTTATTTAAACTGATAGTAAGTGTTTTTGGCTTCTCTTCTATAGCACGCATAGTGTTGAACTGAATTATAGCTTTCAAATCCATTGTATCTTGTATTCAGTAGAGGCATAATTCCAGCAAAATGCAGTGTTGTTTCACGGACTGACACTGGGTGAAAAGGTGATCAGTCCCAAATTGTCATGGGGTTAAGTAAAACTAGGGCTGGGTGAGTTACATTAATTGTGATGATCAAAGCGTATGAATATTCTTCATCACTCATGTTATTACTCATTTTTCTCTGGCTGGATTGTGCACTAAATTGCTGTAACACCTGGCCGGATCATTATGCAACTGTTTTGTTGTCTTTCTCTGAAAATGAAGGTATTTATTTGTCTAAAATGGGGACATTTTGAGAAAACTTTTCCACAACAGCAGTTGTCATTATTGTCATTTTTAATTGACATGGTATGATTAAAAATACACTGTAGCTAGACCTACAAGCAAGTATGTTGGGGTCCAAGGAATCTACGCAACTTGGAAGTAGGGATAACCAGGTGATAACCACCATTGTAGAAAAAAAACCCCACAATTACACAATGATCTTTATGAGGATGTGTCCGTATCACCCAGCCCTAATTTTTAACTAATTATCTTAATAATTTACACCCAGGCTAAAGTCGTGTTTCTGTATAACTTGTTGAACAGAGAGTTCCTTACAGGTTATCTGCTTGACAGAAAAAAAAAACTTGCCAAATGTTTATGGCAACTATTATTCATGCTGCAAGCAAAACAATTTAAGGATTTACCATTGATTCTTAATGTTCATATGACGCACTATTGTTCACGTTAATTATACAATGATGGTACAATCAAATTGTAATTGCTAGCCAGTGTATTTATGGGTGGCATGTTTGGGTAAACAGACGGAGAGGACGTTTGTTTGGTTTGTTCTCCTTTACAAGTTAGGCCTGTTTATGAGGCCACATAGCATTACCTTGGTGGGATTTTAATCTTTAATGTATGAAAAACAAACAAGCATACAGTGGTCCTTAATGCACTAAAAGTGAACTTTTAATTCAGCAAACAAAGTTCACTAAAATGTAAATTAATTAATGTGATGTGTTTAAAAAATTATCTTCAGTACAAATGAATCTAAGTCCAGTCTAGTCTACGTTATTAGGTTCAAAAAGTCGACTCTAAATATTGATGCAGTACCTGTTGAATTCTGTACAGATTTGTTGATTTCATTCTTGTACATAATCGCTTGCAGTGAAACATTTTTGTGCACTCAACCTTGGATTTATTCTCAAATCCTGTTATGTCCTTTGAATTTTAGAATATGAAAATAAATTGACTCTTGATGATTAAAATACCCTTTTCAGTTTTTTGACATTTCAGACAGAAAAGCAGCTTCATAAGAATTTATTGTGAACCCCGGTGACTAGATGTAAGCAGTGCCATGAAGGTCTCTGGTTTAAAAACAATCACGTGTTTGTTTTTAAACCAGTACAAATACGGTACATATAAAACGGAAGTTGAAATGCACACCACTGAACACAAGATCTCTATAAATTATGAAAATACAACTTCACATTTTGGTAGAATGAAGCTCAGACAATAAATGCCAAGTGTTCACAGCTTTTTACATTTTGGATACATGAGCAGGAACATTTTCTCTGCTCACTTAGTACTTGAAGCTACTGTATGTGTCTGTAAACTAGAGCTCCCTTTCAAACTTATCTGCCGTGGTGGAGGAAGGAGTCAGGTCATTCACTTAAGTAAAAGTACCAATACGACATAATCGTTGTTGTTGTTGTTGTTGTTGTTGTTGTTGTTGTTGTTGTTGTTGTTGTTGTTGTTGTTGTCCTGAAAAAGTATTTCAACATTCTCCTGTTTTCTGGCAAAGTTATGTTCAGGATCATGTTGAATGTAAACTGTTTGGCTAGTTTAAAGACCACAGTATTTTGAATAGGCTGCCATCGGTTTTGTTTGGCAATGCTGTGAACGCACCCCGAGGTCATATCACGTGAGCGCAGGTTGGATGATTTACGACTTAAGTGGCGAAAGTCTTAAGAATGTAATTTACATTATTCTTTAAATGTACGTAAGTCACTGTTGGCTGCTGACTGTGCTAGTTTTTATTGGGTTAATAGATTAAACTTACTGGTTTTAAACTGTTGAATAATGGTTAGCATGTTTGGTTCAGTTGCTGAAGTTGATGTGCTAGCTTGTTTTGGTCTGTAGCTAAAGGTTTGAGGTTTGTGATTCACCTCTGGCTCAGGAGCAAAGGTTTCAAATATGTGTCGGCCATTGCTGAGAGTTGGATATTAATAAATGGGAAGCGGGGGTCAATACAATGAATGGGAGCCCAACTGTATGTTAGTCAAACACCGGCTAACGGCAAGTTTTACTTTGCTGGCACCTGTGTTAGCGTCGCTTCAAACCCAATGCTGCTGCGTTCAGGTAAAACGGACCATAAAATGGCATGAAATGTTTAACTTCTGTAGCTGTGGCTCTCACTGCGTGTGATTAACCTCGTTGAAGACTTCACTTCCCGTGACTAATAAATGGGCTAAAGTGTGATAAACTGATAAGACCCTGTGGCAGTAAATAATCTTTGCAAATTCAACTTTGAATCGAAAATTTATCTTTAAAGTTCAGTCTAGATTTTTCTGTAGGGAAAATTTTAGTCTACTATTTGCGTTATTGGTGTTCAGAGCAGGCAAGTTCTTTTGATCAATTTGTCATAATTTCATAATTAATTAAGAATATAAGAGATGATTTTGTAGATAAGTATTGCCAAGTATAGACTGCACTTATTTTAAATCAGACTTCCACAGATAGGAGCATGTTGGTGTATGCTGTGATTCTTGTCTGTCATACAAGCTAGATCATCACCTAAAATGTCCTGGAAAAGTCCTGGAAAATGATCTCTAGAAAAGAGTGGGAATCCTGAGTTGCCTTGGTTGGATTACTGATGAATTAAAATCAGTGTGGGTTACAGAGATTCCTTTAACTTGCAGTTCGCCTCACCTCTTCAGCTTTTGATACCTCTCAGAGATTGACTTGCCTTCATACCGTCAGCCTACAAACGTTAAGACTATTGATACGTTTAAGCCTGAAACACCTAAAAAACATTGCACCACGCAGGAATCTGTAAAATGTGCAGCAGCAAGCGTACAAAGCGAATCTGATGTTTACCTGCAGGGCAGCTTCTCATGCCAGACCAAATTTGATTTGCCAACCATTTACTACCAACTGTCTCATGCACTGAACAGCATGCACGTCCCCCAATACATTCATACACCTGATGGTTTATTCTGATGTTTTTTTTTTCTTCTTTTTCTGTGCTTGGCGTCTGCACTCCATGCATCCACTTGGCCATGTGCCTAGAGGATAAGACAGCAATTATTTTCTCACAGAGATGATTCTGCTAGATTACATAAATCCATATCTAATTCACACAATATGGTATCAGGACACTAGAAACTACTCAGTGTTCTTCATGTCACATAATCCTCGGAGACATGTCTTACAACAACTACTGAGATGCTGCAGTCAATAGATATCTGAATGCTTCCTCTGGTCAGTGGTGACTACACTTTATCACTATAAACATGCTACTTGAGGGGACTGTTGGCGATGAAAGAATAAAATAATCCTGATTAAGACAAAGATAAAGTCGTCCCACAAAAATTAAGAGGTTTAGACAAAGAAATACAGATTGAACGTGAGCGTGTAGCATTTGAGGATTTGAAGTCTTCATTTACCCTTCAGTGCTGGTGGCAGCAGATGGTTTCTGCACTGCTCTCAGTCCCACAGCTAACACCTCGTCCTCAGCTCAGGGAATAACAGGATTGGTTAAAATGAACACGGCTGACCTTTTAATTAACTACACGGACCGTCGTGGCTATGTTTTAATCACAGAAAAAGTATTCTCTGTCCTTGGCTCTAGTTTTAGAATAGTACAGACACAAGACACACTTTCTGCATCTGGGGAAGGGTTTAAATAATTTTTATCCAATTTATGTTTCCTTAACAAAAACTAAAGATATATATCAAACTGACAGCATGACTTTGGTGAAATATATGTATCATCTATTCAGTCCTGGAATCAATAACACTAACTCTAACAAAATGGCAACTATTTATTCATCAGTTTCAGTATAAAGTATGTTTGTTTGAGTCACATGTTTTTTTTGAGTGTTATGAAAAAACATCTAAATTTGCATTATCCTCTACCCTGTACATTGGATCTACTCCTGCTGAGGGTATACACTCAGCTGCTTTATTAGGTACACCTATCTAAAACTAATGTAGTATAATGCAACAAGTTTGCAATAAATCCTCCGTGATGACGGTTGTAAAGTTATAATGTGATGCAATACAGTTGAACAGCTCTGCAAACCAGAGTTTCCAAAATTACCTCACAGTTGAATCAAAAATATCTGACATTTTAAGATTTATTAAAATAAAGTGCAATGAAAAGCAGGAAATCCTCACATTTGAGAAGCCGAAGCCATGAAATGTTTGGCATTGTTGCATGAAAAATAACTTAAACAATTATCAAAATAGTTGCCAATGAATTTTCTGTCAGTCAACCAATTGGATATCATGTTGATCTATAATGATGATCAAAATGTATTGAGTATCTCAAGCACACTAACGTGCGCTTGAGATATGGCGTGGAAGTAAAACAATATATTTCATTATCCTCCCAAAAATATTAAGCAGCAGGCTACATAAAGCCGATAACTTATGAAATCAATAAGTTTTTACTTAATTAACTGTGTGCTCATGCTATGTGTGTATTTTTATTTATTTATTTATTTATTTTTACAGTAAATAGACAAAACTCTACCAACTTGTATGTTGTATAATGTCAGTAGCAAAAGTAAAACATAACAGACAGCAGGAATCAGGAGTAATGTCCACAGACTTACAGACAAAAGTAGCCTACTGCTCTGCTGTCTGACTCTCGTACATGAAGGAATCCGGAGAGGCCCGAAGCTCCAAAGCAGTCTCTTTGGCATTCCTTGGCGTACAGGCTGCCGTTCAGCATGTAGCAGAAGTGTGGATGGCAGCCAGTGTGAGAGCTGGTATCAGCAGCAGCTGAGTAAAGTCGAGTTTGTACAGTTCCTATGGGTTTGTAGTATTGAATGGTGGCATCAGCGAGCGCACACAGCTATGGTAAGCCCCCAGGGGAAAACATGTCAGTCACAGCACAACTTAAAGCAAGCTAAATGTTGTCACAGTATTAAAGCGAGATTTTAACGCTATTTAATGCTTTCCTTTTATATGGCAGGCAATTCGTTTGGTAATATATAAAAGCCGAGTAGGCTTTGTCATCAGTCGTGTTGTGTTTTTACTTTGGATATTCTAAGTACATTGATTTGATAGCACCTCTTATTATATTCATCACTATGAGCAATATCCCTTTCACACTGTGACACTGTTTTCAAATTATAGCTAATTTAAGTAAGGTCGTGTCCAAAATCACTCACTCACTCACTCACTCACTCATTCACTCACTACTAGACTACTAGTAGAGGACTATATTTAGCTCATTGGGAAAATTAATAAACACTTTCAGACACTGTTTCTATCTTTCAGCACGAGCGCAATGCATGATGGTCTATATTGCTTGGTTATCGCCTCTACAAAATGGCAAACTCCCTATATAATGGACTATGTAATGGACTATATAGCGAGTAGTGAGTGATTTTTTGGACAAAGCCTAAATGTTCTGAATATTTCTGTCACCACTGCTTATTTATTTATTTTGGGGGTTGAGGGGGTCAGACAAATATTTCGGTCCCCATAAAGGCTTTGGCCGGCCCTGTTTTTGCTCTTAGATACACCTTAGAAAGACCCTGCAGAAAAGAGTAACACTGTTATAGCTAAGAATGGAATAAGGTGTGAGGATAGAGGTGGGGGTAAACCCCACATTGTTTTCTCTGCCAGGGCTTTGACCGCCTTTAATCTCAGTGCACACCCTTCTCCGCTGAACCTGCCCTGTGTCAGGTTATGTGGCTTTAGTCCACCATCTAGTGGTTAATGCGTCTGAGTCTGTGCATCACACCACCAGAGCACCGTTTCAAATGAACAACGTGCTGCTGCAGACCTGTTGCATCCACCTGCTTCACTTAAACTCATTTCATCTCCGGCCAGGTACAGAACTTCCCGCACACTGCACAATCTGAATCCACTCTTTACATGAAGTTTGAAGACAAACGGCCAATTCAGTGTGAACCAACACAAAGTGACTCATTGCACGGCAGCCTGCTAGTGAAGATGACTGGGATTATTTCCATGCCTCGCTCCGTGTCCCCATGGCTGTTTACGTTCATGTGATCTACACTCCCCTGGCTCCCAGCCACCCCGCAGTATTTATAGCCGTACAGCGGTAATCATCCCTCAAGGAATCCTCGCGAAATCATCCTCAAACCACCAAACTTGGACGGAGTGAGAGGGCTGAATTCAGGATCCACCTGATCGGGGCTCTGTGACGATGAAGGAACGCGCGTCACCTCGAGGTAAAGCTGTCAAATTCATTAATCATTTCATTAGTTAATTGATATTGTCGCTTCCTGTCGCGGGCGCTGCATTAATCCCCTCTTCCTCCAGTGAACATTTTTAGCATCTTAATCATCTGTCTCTACTTGTTGTGACTGCTGCTGCGTGTTTTTTTTCTTTTCTTTCTTCACTTGCTTGTGCATCATGCACTTAACTCCAGAAGAATGAAGAAACCTCATTAGCAATACCTGTTAACAGGCTACTTAATGTATTTCTAAAACGACTGCCGACCTGCAGCTGACGTGCACAAATTAGACGAAGGGGCCGCCTGTTGTTCCAGTGAGTCTACAGTAGTTGCACTAATTAAAGCGAAGGAGATCACAGCCAGGAGCTGTAGAAAGGAGGAATTTCAAATAAAATAGCATCTTCACGCAAGTGTTTTAACTTTAATGAATTATAGAGATAAGGTGGACGCTTCCTGCAGCAGTAGGCACGCTGCTGTAGGCTTATTGATGCTCTTATCTATAAAGCAACCTTATCAATGCTGGCATTCATGATTAATTTCATTTTTGTTTAAATAAGTAACCTAAACGTCATGGATCCTTCCCTGCATATCATTCGAGTTTGTTGCTCCTGCTGCTTTTTCAGTGTGTGCCTGTTGATACAAGTGCCTTGACATTTAATTTCCCCACAGCTCTGGCTGCAAAACTGACAGATAATACAAGGTATCACATATCTTTTGAACTTGCACGGCTGTGCTAAAAATCAGAGGCAGCCCGCCCATCAGCAGCATAAAGCTGCGATCAAACCACCCGTGTAAATGTGTGCGCTGACCTTGTACCCTCTCCAGGCTTTCAGACGGGTGCTGTTCTGCATTTGAGGGCAGAGCTCAACTCAGACTGTGTCCAGTTCATGTCTGAGGAGCCCTGCCGCTGATGAGTGAGTCACTGTGCCTTTGCTTCAGCTCTCCCACACTCAGTCATCTTCCTTTTCGGCTGCAGCTCAGTGGAAACAGCCTTGTTTTGTCTGTCTCTCACTGGCTCGCCTCAAACTTGCTGTTTTCCAGCCTTGCCACCTCATCTTCCCCATATTTATCTATCTCAGTTACACATACATGCTCAACTGGACAATGGCGGCAACAGCAGCATAAAGGTTTAACTCGTTTGATATGTTGAGTTCAGTATTCTGGAAACAAAGCATGTGACTGAATTGAGATATTAAAAAACCCTCCTCTTCAGACGTCTCCTTATCACTTTTACTAGAACCAGCTTTCTGTACAAAGTCTTATCCGCCCACCAGTATGATGACATGTACTATTTCTGCATGGCTGTTGGTTCAAAGCTTTTGTTCATCTAATCATGCACTGCTGGTATCAAAGATCTCACTGGCTGAGGAGATCATTTAGAAAAAGCCCAGACAAATGGTGGTGCTCACTCTGAGTTTGTGGTAGAATGCGTTTTTTGTTCGTGGAACCGTCAGTATATGCACTACATGTTTCTCATCCATATTCCCTTACCACGGTCTGTGAAGCTGTGCTATGCTAACATTAACATGCTAACGTGCTCACAATGACAATGCTTATATGCAGTTAAAATGTTTCCCATTTAAAGACACAGTGAAGTTGATGCTGCTGGTGATACTGACTGCAAAGTCATAGATTCACCAGTGTCGGCAGAATTCAACCTCTGGGGAGCTTGAATGTCTTGACACAATTTCATGACGATCCATCCAACAGTTGTTGAAACATTTCACAAAAGCAAAAAAAAGGCCAACCTTAAAAAAGTCAGGGGAACAAGTTATTATGATACATTGTCTGTGGAACACAAATCATTTTTTTTGAGTGTTTCATGAATTATTCTTTTGCCACCTATCACTGAACTCATCATTTTGTGGTCTCTCCTTTTTTCCCTATTTGTAGCATTATGCTGAAACCACCAACGACTGACCTCTGTCGAGATGCTCACCAGTTCAGACCAGTCCCTCTCCCTCTCCCTCCCACCCAACCTCCACTCTCCATCCAGCTGTGGTCCAGCAAGAGAAACACGTATCCAGTCGTCCCTGTCCCTCCCCGAGCCTGAGGCCTGGAGGATGCCCAGCATCGCTGCGCGTCAATGCCTCGCTCAAGGAGCTCGCTCCTGCTCTCTGCAGGTCCCTCATGCCGTCCCTGAGTACCTGGGCCTGCCCCCTCGGGCAGCCAGCTTTGATGTGCCTTATGGTCGAGACGAGGGCTCGTCCGATCAGGGTTCAGGGTCTCTAAGCCCCCACTGTATGCTGCGACGGCGTGGGGGACTTGTGGAGCAGAAGGATATCATCATGGCTCACCAGGCACATAAAATCCAGAGCACGCCGCAGGCCCGCAGGAAGGAGTGGGAGTAAGTATAAAAGAGATTCAGAGGCAAAGGATTCCTTTTAAATTGTACGTGTAAAGATGATAAATCTCCATGGAGGAGGATGAAAGCACCAGGGTAAAAGAACGCACATGCTTTACTGTGTATGCAGTATAACCCTTTCAACCTGTTGAAACAGTTTGGTGAGTCCATCATTACAAAAGCCCGACACAAAGCCACAAATGTCATTCTTAAAAAATGATATTGATTTTGATTTTTCAGTCAACAGACATTTTTTCAGGGCAGACACTTTGACTTGTCATAGTAGAAAAAACACAGGTGTAAACATTACTGATGGCTCTGTTCCATCTAAGTGTCTCAAAGTGTAAGCCTTACAAGTGATTCAACCATGCATAACACCAGGGCTGTTGAACTGGAAATGGACGGCAGCCAACATTGATGTTACTGCTGACACCTGTGCTGTTCCTGCTATGATGTCAAACCCCCTGCTGCAAAAATGGCCTGTAGGCGTGTTACATACTGTATCTATAATGAGCAGATACTGAATACATAAAGGACATTACTGTTTTCCTTAAACCTGAAAGGTGTCTTTCACAGTGACAAATCCACAGCTAAGTTTTTTTTTTTTGGTTTTAGAGTCGCAACTTTTTTGTTTCAGTCTGCGCTGCTTCCATCTGTCTCATTTCCCGATGCAGCAGTAGTGTTTGTCGCTAAAAATTTCTGTTAAAGCCACTGTATGCTTCCTGCCCAGCTCCCAACTGCAGACACAGATAGCAGCTAGCTGGTGAACACAGTGGAACATCTAGCAGGCAAAGAGACAGACACTTCCCTCAGGAGCTGGTGGAGACCAAAACAGAGCTAATAGGAGAGTCAGTGACATACACAAAATTTGTGTAACGTATTGAATTTGAAACCTACATTTTTACACCCATGTTCACTTGTTGGCAGTCTTCTTCTCCCTGCATTTCTCGGCACATTGCTACAGTTCATGGCATGTTACTGCCACCATCTATCAATCGATGTAACGATGTGAAACCATGTGTTTATCACATCACTCATAAGCACACGCATGTGCAAAACAAAACGGGGCCACACACTTGAAAGCATTGTTACATCATGCAGCTAACGGTCAAAAATGCCACATGGGGTGTATTTGAGGGGAGTATTGAAAGCACAAGGGTTCAAATGATTAGCCTTTACAGTGTAAAATATTAGTACACTTATTATTGTTGTTTGGTTGCTTAGCTACAAAGTGCTTATTTCAAAGGGTGCTCCATATTAGCAATACATATGCAGAGGCCTTTGTTGCAAGCATTGTTATAGTTCCACCAATGAATCACCAAATCAGTTCGCACTGCTTTCATCAGTTGATCTGACGTTTTTTTTTTTGTTTTTTTGTGCAACATCGTTTACTGTAATCAGATGCTGGATAGCGTTATTAATGTCGGAGCTGAGGGTGCTTGCCTGTGAACTTTTGAACTCTGGAGCCACATCGCTCTGATTATCTGCTTCCCACCACTCGAATGTGGAGTGGCACTCCATCAGCGTAACCCCCAACCCACCAACAAGCCCCTTTCCTCCTCCTCCTCCTCCTCCTCCTTTTCCTCCTTCCTCCGTCCTCTGATTTCTCTTTACTTTTGCTGTACCTTCACCACCCACTCCATGTCCACTTTACTGTCATTCTCTCATGATTTCAATCTTTTTTCTCACATGTACAGAAACACATATGCACAGCTAATCTAATACGTTGTTTTATTTTCAGCCTGTAAGCGTTGTCAGAATGAACAGCTGCAGCACATAGTAAGCAGGAAATGAGAAAAAATGGACAGAGAAGTAGGGCTAAACATTGATTTCAGAACACTACTGTACATGCATTGTGGTTATTTGTCCATTAGGGGATGCTAGGGAATCAAAGTAGGAGAGCAGCTGGGAGGTAGCATACTGTATAATGCCTTTACAGTTAAGCAGTAGAGTTTGGAAATTGTTGAGCTTGCCTGAAAAATACTAAATGGTTTTGAGGACAAATTAAATATGAATGATGTTTATTATACTTTAAGTGGATGTTCAGAAAAACCAATTAGTGATCTGGTATTTCTGTATAATTGAGCGTGAGACAGTTTTTTTTTCTCATGCTTAAACTTTTCTTGAGGTTCATCAATAGATACCTGAGATTTTGAGCCTGTTTGGTGCTGATGTGCAGTTTTGGACTGTTTCTCTGAAGCCATAACTATGATGTAAATATGTTTCAAGGTGAACTGGCACCGTGTCACACCAATCTGCGATGATATAAGCAGCGGTTATTGGTCGAATCAAACTGACATAACTCAGTACTAGAGGAAGTCTGTTGCTAGGGAACAGAGAGAAAAATAAAATGCTAAAACCACTCCAGTCAATGTTGGGTGAAAGCCTGTCTGCAATTATATAAATGCTCTTCAGAGTTCTGGCACAAAGTACACCCATTAACGTTTTAACTCACAGTGCGTGTCACCTGCAGCCTCGCTTCATCTATCTTCCCCTATACAGTGTTTCTAAAGATGTTTTTTTGCCGTGAGTGTGGACATAAAAATGCTCCGCAGGCTGCTGTGCTCTCCGTATCACAGCTGTTTTTTCATAGAAGTACGTCGCTTGTACACCTTTATCGGCTAATCATGGCGCTTTCTGTGCAATTTCAGCTCATTCAAAGTATGGTTAGGCCCGGGCAAATTGATATGAACCTCTCTGCTGTTTCCGCTAACAGTTTACACAGCTATTTTCAGAAGCCTTTGAGTAGGCTGCGAGAGAAAAGCAGAACAAATGCCAAACACTCTCAAAACAGACTACATCTGGTCATCTATGCAGCACAATAGATCATCAGTGTAGTGATGCTGCTGTACACTCGTCTGTCTGTTTCCTCCTTGAAGACGTCCAATGACCTTGATGCAGCGTAAGGAGGGAGGGAGATGTGTGCGTGTGTGTGCGTGTGTGTGTGCGCGCGTGTGTGTGTGTTTGTGTGTGTGTGTGTGTGTGTGTGTGTGTGCGCGTGTGTGTGTGTGTGTGTGTGTGTGTGTGCGCGTGTGTGTGTGTGTGTGTGTGTGTGTGTGTGTCGGGAGAAACAGATTTCTGTAGGAAGAGGTTGCTCTATTGTGCAACATGGCTTTTGTTGGCAGAAATGAAAAGAACGAAGCAGGAATTCAAGAGAGCTATGTCGCTATGGAAACAACAGCAAAGAGAGAGCTAGAGACACACACACACACACACACACAGACACAGATAGATATGTGCTGTTTGCAGAGATGGGCAAATATTTTTGTTGGGCAACACACAAGTAGATGATTTTTTTATTGTGATGCGTGCTTGTGTAAGACATTTTTAGGAGAAAGTGGAGATGAAAGTGAGATATGCTCATATACTGAACACATACTTTAAGTATAGTTCATTAACTATCAGAAAACTGCACATATTACATGCTACTTATTATTCTTCTGCTATTTTTACATTTGCCACTCAATAGGTCAGTGTAGCCTTGTGTTGCTCTCCTGCTTTGCATGAAGTGACACGCCCGCCTGCTTCATGCAGATTAGGAAGAGGAGGTAACAGAGTCATGGCTGAGTTTCTGAAGCTCTGTTAGGGACTTATTCATAGATCCTGTTAAATCGATTTTTTTTCCCCGTCTCCCCCAGATTCCGACTTGTTTGCCAAGCATAAATTTGTCACTCTCTCTTGGCTTGCTTTCACAATCCCTTGTCTGAGCCCTCGCCCGCTGCCCGTCTGTGATACCTGCGCTGTGCTGCTAACACAGCGGAGTCTGCCAGTCGGCATCCAGGCAGTGATATTTCTGTGTCAGGATTTCCAGTGGACTGATGCTGTGGCTGATTCTTTTTTTTTGTTTGTTTTTTTTTTGTTTAATTGTGACAAACAGCAACTTCAGGCATTAAAACAAGCCCCCACTCGCCTGAATGATACCATGTTTGTGGGGGCTGAAGTGGTGGTCATCTTCAGGAAACAGTGGGGAGGGGAGGAGAGCAGCAGATGGAGCGAGGGAGCCCAGTTGCCTAATGAGGTCTCACTTGTGTCACTGAGTGTGAAAAAGACCCTGCTTTCTTCTCCTCTCCCTCAAAAAGGGAGCAGCCCTAAGATCTATTTCATGCTCTATTTTTACTCCTGACTTTTACTCCAATATTAGCACAATGGCCTAGTTTTTAAATGTTTTAATAGTACAAGTCTGTCTCCATTAAAGAAAATATGACAATGCTACCTAACTATCAAACAGTGAAAGCTCTTCAATGGGGGAAAGCTCATATATAAAGAGCTTCTCTATAGGTAATGTCTTTGACTTGCTTGCCTTCTCCACACACTTGTTGCCCTTTTCTGCGCCTTGTCTCTGCTCCTACTATTTAGTGTTAAATGTATTTTCACACCCCCTTCTCTTGCCACAGCACCCACAAACATCTTTACATAATTGGTTTTTGAACCACATACCCACACAGCATACTGTATATAGGCTTCTTCTGTTTTTGTTTTTTTCTTTTGAGGAAAATGTTTTTGTTCATGCAGCAAACTAATTGCTATGGTAACAAAATATATGTCCCTCCTCTCTGCCAGCTTTCATTCACATGAATTTTGAAATCGCCATCATGAAATGTTACTGTGGGAGGGGGGCTGCCGGTGCTCGTGCGCTCCTGACTGCGTTATAATTTCCCAGCAGGTGATGAGATTGTAAGATCTATAGCCATTCAAGCAACTCTCTTGCTCCATTTTCGACTGATTAGAGAGGAAGTTCGTGCTTTTTTTTTTTTTTTGTAAAATCAGGCGTAGACGCGTTAAACAAATGAGACCCTCATTTTGTCAAGTTCACCTGGTGGAGAAGATGCGTGAAGTTTGCGAAGACTTCTCTCCATCTGATGAGCGCACATTAGTTTCTGTTCACGCAGCTGCCGGTTTGTCAGATCGAAACGAGCTTGGATGTTGGTAGAAAATTGCAAGGTGTAAAATCGGTGGATCTTTTTTTTTTCTTCCTCCTTCGCTGCCTGAGTTTAGAGACGCGCACCGATTAAAAGTTGTCCAGAGCCGATTGTAACGCGCTGTTAAACAGATGGGATAACAGAGATGCTGAGTGTTTGCAGTCTGTGCGTCTGAAACGTCAGTAAATAAATGGATGATTTTTCCTAAAATAGAAGCCAGCTGAATGATATAATCCTTTGGTTTTTTTTTGTTTTTCTTGTGGATATGGAGTGATAGGAATTTGCAACTTTTTTGGGGGGAATCTTGGTGCTCGAAAAGCTGCCAGTGGATTGAAGGTGGATCATTTTTCGCTCAGCTCCACTTCACATTCCTGTAGTAAAACACTCTTAAGCGGGCCGTCTCCTCATCTCTTTGTAGAATGGCTCGGTTTGGAGACGAGTCCGCTCCCAGCACGGTGGACTCCGGGGATGGGGACTTGGAGCGAGGTGGGGACGGGCAGGACGCGGCGGCGGCGGCCGCGGCTGGACTGACCGCTTCCATGAAACAAGCTAAGGCGCAGCGGGCCCGGACCATGGCTCTGTACAACCCCGTCCCACACCGGCAGAACTGCCTCACCGTCAACAGGTCGCTCTTCATATTCGCAGAGGACAACATCATTAGGAAATACGCAAAGAGGATCATTGAATGGCCATATCCTTCCATGAAAAAGCTATGTTTAAACTTGTCTGTGCTGTCCTGGTAGTTTGTCATAGAGAAAGTGTGTGGTAGGCAGTTCAGCACCATGGACAGCGACAGGAAGCATGTGAGCAGCTGCAGCTTAAAAATACAACTCATATTTACTCCTCATGTCTGAAAAGTGCCTAAAGTGCAATCTGAAGTGCACCCCCATTGCTGTGAATGTGTTTTGCATGACTTCTAATCATTTTCAGGGTCCCTCCTGTAGGCAGCTACCTTTAATCCTCCTTGTACACTTATCACTTACTGCTTATCTGCATAACCCACTCCATGATTTCCAGCTCTTAGTTAAATCACAAGATTGAAAATTAGCCCTTTAATAAGTACCTGAATTTAACCTCTTCATAATTCTGCTAAGTAACTAACCCTGGTTTGGTTTCTCTGTGGTTAGTTTATCCATGTGCTCCAGTGCTGGCAGGAGACGGAAAGTTAGCATGTGGTGATCATTAGAAACAGCTCTGCTCGCTGTGGGGGAGGCATGTAGGCACATCTCTGCTGCCTTAGTGCTCATTGGAATATGAACCTGGCCATGAGTAGGTGTCAGTTCAAATCCACCAGGCAGCGCTCCTCTGCTTCCCGCTGCAGCATCGGCCAACAGTTTCTTTCTCCTGAACTTTTACAGATTTAACAAAGATAATCAGGGAAGTTATTGTTCACAGCTTATTCATGTGACGTGGACATATAGTGCAATCACATTCAGTCATTATAGTGCAAAGATAATAATCCATCAGAGTTACTTGTTCAACTGTCTAATTTATTTACATACTTTATGTTTGCAATGATTTCCTGATAAATCCTGTACATGTTTAAATGTTTTGATAGCATAATCACTTCAACAGCATCACTCAGTTGCCATATCTACCCACTGCTCCTCCTGTCTTACACCCCCTCCAGTGCAGCGTGCCAGTCTCCCACTGTTACCTAACCACAGGCTCTGTGGGTGTGTGGGAGTGGGGCTAGTGGTCAAGACTAGCTGGCCACTGGCAGCACGGTAATGTGACTGTCGGTATCATAGAGGCAGAGGTATGTGGGAGAGAGCTGGCCAGTAGTACCATGGTGGATCGTGGGCTGTAAAAGCAACACATGTCAGAGTATTGACTGGGCGAGACCCAGATTTTTGCACATAGTGTTCATGTTCTGATGCCGAAAATGAAAAACAGACTCATCTGATTTCATAGCAATGGCGTTTGTTTGATTGTATGTTGCCTCATAAACACATTGGAGAGTTATAACAATTCCCACAAGTTTAGTAGTTGCTGAGGCTTCTGATGCCCAATGTGGAACAAAGTCTCTGTATCATAGTTAAGTTAGTGGACCATACCAGTGTTCCTGCAAGTTAAACAAGCTAACCGTGTGTGCTAAATCTGCAGCAATTACTTGATTGATAAAACATGTATGATGACTGGTGTACATTGTAACAGGTAACAGGAAGTAACAGAGTGGATGAGATTTGTTAAGTGTTTCCCAATTTAGCTCTCTTCTGCTGCTTTCAATGGCAACAATGTGGACTTGTCAATGTGAGTCAGTGTGGGTCCCAGAGGCCCCCATGTCAGCACTCCTCTGTGAGTCAGTGACCCCATTTCACTCAAGGCAGGAAAATTAATAACAAGGAGCAGCTGCCTCATGGGAACTCCAAGAGACTGAAAGTCACAAGCACATACAAGTGTTGGGGCCCGTATAGTCACCATCACACGCAGTGCATGCTGGGTCACACATGTCAATGCATGTGCACACACAGACAGTTGTTTCAGCTGCGCTAATATCGATGAAGGTAAATATTACTCCTGAGAAACACAGAAAACATTTATTTTCTTTATTTGGAGTCACATAAAGAAAATTGTTGTAGCTGCACAAACTAGTCCTGCAACAAGTTTCTTGCAAACATATCAGAGTCATCCAACAGCCCAAAAGTGACGTACAATGATCTAAACCACAAAATTCCCACATTTTTCAGACACAAGATAGATTCATAAAAATAGCTTCTGTTTTTTATTTTCATGCTTAAACTGCAGTTGAATGTTGCTTGTGCGCTGGGTTAGAGTTCAAACAGAAACCCTGGCTGCTTTACTTTTAATAGCAAAGAGATAATACTTGGAAGATGTGAGTTTGTCATGCGAGACTTAGTAAATTGACGTATATCTCATACTGTATAATCTGCTGTTTTGTCAGCTGTAGGCAGTGAAAGGAGTTCTGAGAACTGTTTGTTGTAGTTTGTGTAGTTAGACCAGTCAGGCCAAGGTGACTTCACTCGCTCACTTCGCTCTCCTTCCCTCCCTTACCTGCTCTTTTTCTCTTCATGAAAAGCACTTTTAAAAGCAGGTTGCCATGGATACTGCAATCTCTCTAACAGATTGCTTCCAGTACCAGAGAATATGAACCATGCCATAATTCACGTGTCATTTAATCATCCATCCATCTATGTTTTTTTCCCTCTCCACTGAACCAGACACACATGTAATTTTGAAATATCTCTGCAATTACAAAAATACAGTATATGTACAGTTATTAATGTTAGTGTATTGAAGATGTAAAGCTTGGTCAACTCATAATATGTTGCTTTTTTTCAGCATCAGAGTATGGGCCTTGTTTGTGTAATGATGTGCAGTGTATTGCTACATCCTTGTAACACTGATCTCCCCAAAAAAATTATGACATTTGAAGTGTTGTTGTTTGCTGCATACCATTTGTTTGTTTTTATGCGCCACTTGTGTCCTTGTGTTTTGATAAAAGTACTTTCCTTAACTTCACGGCCTTTACACCATTTGAGTACATGATCCTGGCCACCATCACCGCCAACTGTGTCGTCCTGGCTTTGGAGCAGCACCTCCCAGGAGAGGACAAGACCCCCATGGCAAAGAGACTGGTGAGGACAAAATCTGTTTTCACATCCCACATCACACAGAAAGGGTTTTTGAGCAATGTCATCATGAAATCAGTCACGCAAATGGGCAGGAAACAGACCAGAGTGATGGGGGTTTATGAAGCTATCAACATGAGAAGTGTTTTTTTTTTTTTTTTGTGCCATAAACTGTGGAAATGTTAAAAGTCAAAGGTGGAAGATGGTCAGTATCCCCAAGTGGAAACCTCACTTTCAGTTAAGCTAAGGGTGCATACTGTGTGTTTAGCATGTAGTGATCTGGTCACAGCCCTGGACTTTAATTAAGTGGTATAAAATGAGTGAGGGAGAAATAGATGTTAAGGGTAAGAAAACTTACACTCTTACTATGTTACTAAGTTTTGAGTACATGAGGATGAATACCACATACAAATTTACCTCCAGTGGTGGAAAGTAACTAAATACATTTACTCCAGTACTGTTCTTTAGTATAGTTTTGACGTACGATTGCCCTCTCAGGTATTTTCATTTAATGATACTTTATGCTTCTCGGCAAGGCAAGTTTATTTAATTGTGCAACACATTTTTGACCAAAAGTCAATTCAAAGTGCTTTACATAATGCATTAAAACATTTTTAAAGAGAAAGAAAAACAGAATAAGAATAAAAGCACTAAAATACAAATTCAAAGAATAGAAACCCTTCTAAAGGACAGTAAAAAGTTAAGAATAGACATAAATAGAGGATACGAAAGCACTCCACTGCATTTCAGGGGACACATTCTACTTTTCACACCACCACATGCATTTTACAGTTATCATTACTTCCACTGATCAGATTAAGATTTTATATAATAATACATATGATTAAAATGTTATTAATAATTGTTGTAGATTAAAACAGTTATAAGTTGTTAAAATGAACTCTTTCTTGACAATGTTGAATGCTTTTTACATGTACACATAAAGTAATCAGTAATAATATTCCAGTAATATACCTGATATATGATAAATTAACACTGAATGGGGTCATTGTCTTAATTGTTACTTTTACCTTTATTTAAGCATATTATGCAACTAATAGCTTTTTGTTAAGTAAGATTTGGAATGCAGGACTTTTACTTGTAATGGAGTAAAAGTTGTATCATTACTTTTAAAGGAATACTTTTCCCATCACTGTTTACCCCAAATGTGAGCTATCATGACATTGTGCCAGTGTGTTTTCTACCCCCTGCTGTGCATGCAGCCTTGATTGTTTGTAAATGGAATATAGTATATACAGTAGACTGTGTGTAATTACTGGATTTTATGTGTGCACCCTGTACACACAAAAGACAACCTATAGGTTATAGTTATAACATTATGGCCTTGTTCATGACTAGAGTTTATTTTACTTTGTCAACTCAACTACACTTCCCTATAGAGTCTACTTCCCTATACTACTCTACTCCTTTATTATTCACACATTACATTATGCTACATTATTCCCACAGGAGAAGACAGAGCCCTACTTTATTGGGATCTTCTGCTTTGAGGCAGGGATCAAGCTGGTGGCCCTTGGTTTTGTTTTCCATAAAGGTTCCTACCTGAGGAACGGCTGGAACGTCATGGACTTCATAGTCGTGCTCAGTGGGTGAGTGATAGCAGCTGGTCTCCCTCACGACCTGAATTTTCAACAAAGTGAGAAATGTTTGTTTTAAACATTGTCAACAGATTCCTGAACTACTTCTCACCAAACATAATGCTGAGATCTGTTTTTGGAGGAAGTGAGGGAAAGTAACTAAGAACATTTAGGACTTGGTATTTCTTCTACCACTGCCATACAGTACTCTGACTGTGGATTAGCAGTAGTGTCTAAATGTCCTGTTCTCCGTCTGTCTGGATGCTTAATAGATCTTCTTCAAAGCAGTCATGATGGGCAAATAAACAGGTGTGGCTAATAACTTTAATGATGGCTCATTTCCATTGAGTGAGCTATGACAGTGAGCCAGCATACACAATACAGCGACCCTGGACCACACTCACCTAAACTGAATGCAGCTATTGTTAATGCTATTAGTTACACCTGTGCTTTTCCTACTATGGCATGTAAATAGGCCTGTGTCTGCTGTTTTATTGGGACTGAAGTGTCATTTTGCTGTTATTGTTGAAGGTGTTATGAATTGTATTTAGTTATAAGTGATATGTTCTGTTACAACAGAACAATGGCCATTTGAAATTGGTCATCTGAAGAAACGTGTCAGTGTTGACAGATGAATAAGATGTACCATAGGCTTTGGCAACACAGACAGTGCTCGTTAGTAGGATCAGTTAACTTCATTCAGTTTCATTCGTTTCATTCATTTCATTTGTTTACAAGAAAATAATAGAATACTGTCAGCCTTATCCTAACTGTCTCACACAGACTCCATTAGAAATATATAGAAATATAAGATCAAAGTTGAAGGTCAGCAAAGTAGCCTTTTAATATTAAAATGGTAAATGTAACAGAGAGGGTTTGGGTACAAGCGGGTACGTGTGTGTGTGTGTGTGTGTGTGTGTGTGTGTGTGTGTGTGTGTGTGTGTGTGTGTGTGTGTGTGTGTGTGTGTGAGAGAGAGGTATACCTCCAAGTGCTCTCTTTTAATTTTGAATTTGGTTGAACTCCATGATGAATTACAAACTTCACTGATTGTATGAGAGAGTGAAAAAAGTTTTAAATTAATGCTCAGCAACTGATTCCGCAATTAATTTTGACAGTATTCATTTTTAGTTTACCAGGCTGTGGCTACTGAACCAAATGATTAATTTCAGACACTGATTGTCAAGTTATGTCGGTGCATTCATGCATGTGACTCTGCTTGTGTCGACATTTATCATTATTTTTCCATGCATGTCCGCACTGCAGTTTAAAGGCTTCCAATCACTACATGCTGTACCTCATGTCTGACATTATTGCTGCATGGTTAGCGATGGTTGACCCTATGGGCTGGTCTTTATTGTTGTTATGTTGATGTGATTTTTCTCCATATATTTACACACCACATACATCCACAGGAAAACACAACACATAAATGCAGGAAAATGTGTGTTTCCATGGCACAGTCAGGCTCTACAGTCAGCGATAGGTGGGTGGATAAGTGGATTGGCAGTTGTGTCTAAAACCTGCTTCGGTTCGCCCCCAGGACCTCTGTGAATTAAATGTGAATGCAGCGCTGGAGATGTTATGCAAACGCATAGAAAGAATGGATGCATGGTAGAGAGAAAAAGAGAAGAAAAGAGGGGGGAAATCAAGGGGGAGAAAGGAAGAGGGAGAGACAGACCCAAGAAGAAAACATAATGAGAGACTTTATTTGTTCCCTATAAGACTGGGTTTAGTAAATTAATTCACAGGAGCAAAGCATTGTTACCACTGGTATGCTGTTTATGGCTAAGTGTACAGTATTCAGCATTCAGGGAAGATTGCTATCGGCGTGTTGACATCTCATTTCAACCTGACACCCACATCTTTCTTTTTCTCTGTATCTCTGATGTCTCTGTCGGTCTTTCCATCTCGCTCTCTCTCTCTCTCTCTCTGCCTCTCTCTCTGCCTCTTACATAAAAGGGACATCAGCATCACGTTTACAGAGCAGTCAGTGGCGGCCTAAACGCTGAGCAGCTGTGCTGATGACAGATTTCCACAGAATTTACAAGGTTAAAGTGTTCAGTGGGTTTGAGTAATTTGAAAAGTATTGGTTGCTTTAGTAGAGTACTTTGAAATTCTCTCATCTCATCAAAGTTTGCACCAAATCATTTCACTTCCAGTTTCTCAATAAATGGCCCGATGTGGTGAAAAGAAACAAAGCACTGTTTGGTTCAAAGTAACAGGCTCGTTTTTCACTAGCTCATCATTCACAAGCCTTTGACTAGATGTAGGTTCAAAACAGTTTCTTTGATAGGAAAACACAACAGTGCTGGCATGGGATGACTGGAGCTACGTGTCAGTAAGATTATCTTTTCCGAGGCTACAGAGACGTTCAGGTGTAGTTAAAGCTTAAAGTACTGAAGTCCTCCAAAGATGCAAAAATGCACAGACAAAAGGCTTAAAATGCAGCAGTGACCAGCTTGACTTAATGTGTGAACTTTCTATCTTTCCTCCCCCATGTATCATCTGACAACCCCTTAGATTTAGCTCTGTCTTGACCTGCTCCAACAATATGATGCTGCTTACACAATCTATTATTAATCATTGTTTATGATGTGATATATAATTATATGACAGTTATGGGCCATTTTTAGTAGAACTAGTAGTTAGATAGGCAAGTATGTATTGGTACTTAAGTTAAGTTAAGGATCTGAATACTTCTCCTTACTCCTGCTGCATAATTCACTTCACTGTTGTTAATCCATATGTTCAGTATCTTACACTCGTTGTAATTGCCAAAACATGGCTAAATGTGTTACTTGCACCTTTCAAGCTAAAAGAAAGTGAGTGGTACTGAAAAAAGAAATTAGGGGTAGTGAGGATTTAACAACATTTGAAACAAAATGTGATGACAGTTGTGGGGTTGTTTGCTTATGTTTGCCAGTGCTTTCAGTCAAATTTGATTAAACCACCCTCACACAATTCCGATGAAGACTTTTAAGTTACACTTAAATAATGCCTAAGGGGGATTTTTCCCCTAACTTTTACTCTTATCGCAGCTTAGTCATGAATATTTAATGTTAGAGAGACATTTGTCAGGGGTTTTGAGGCCAGTGGTTGTGCAAACAGCTTGATGATGTCCAGGGAGCTCTTAGTTAGTGAGCTGTGATCTGGAACCTATTTTAGTCCTTATTTTCTGCACATTTAGTACAAAAACACAATGGTATGAATTTCGAAATGTGTGCCTCATAAAGTATGTCAGTGGTTGTCAAAGACTGCATAAATTAAAGACAGAGCACAGACTACACCCGAGACACTAAGAATGCATTTTAACGGAAGATGTGGCAGCTCTGTTGCTGCAATAAACTCAGTTGTTAGAGTTAAGTGTTTCTAATAAAACTGTCACTCAATCATGTCACTTATTGTATAAAATGCAAAAAGTCGTCAGTGTGTTTTCTGCAGCCCACAGATCTTCTTGCCCAACTTCAGCCACAGCTGGAATTGGTAACTGACGACCTGGTTTCCTGCCTCGTATCTGACACATTTTCTCGTAGCACATATGCTGCTTTCCTCTCCTCTCTCAAATACACACACACGCACACAAACACACACACACACACACACACACACACACACACATACACACACACACACACACAAACACACACGCCCCGACTCTCTCTCACTCTGGTGGCACAGTACAAGTAAGTCAGACTTAAAAGAAAACACACATGTGTCATAGAGGCCGGTTGGGAATAAAATCGAGGCCACTGGGCCAGCGCTGGCGGCATTCATTCCATTTCATATTAATGAATTGCTAGAAGCGAATCTGCTGGGACACTGAGCTCAATTAAAATCCTTAATCTGAGTGAAGAGTGTGTAGCAAAAAGAACCACAGTGAGAACAAGTCACCCACAAACCAATTTAATTCAGTGGGATTCCTAAAATGGTCAATTATATCCTGCGGCAAACAGGTGGATCTGATGCTTTGATTAGCAATAAAATGTCTCCCAAATGACTTGTGCATGTGTGTGTGCTTGTTACTCCATTTATGAGGCTACAGGTACAGATTGTTACCAGTGAACCTGTTGCCCTCATGTTGTTAGATGAGTAATTCATTGAAAAGTCAAATGATATTGATCCGAGCTGTGCCTGCACACTATACCTCTGTGTGTCTGTGTGTGTGTCTGTGTCTGTCAGTATCTCATCATGTTGTATGACGGATATCAGCTTTCCCTTGTTGCCCCAGTCTGCTGTCCCTCTTACAAAGTGTGACACTTTGCTAAAATTGTTGCTCTTTAGACAGGATGAATAATACAACTGGGTGGGAGTTGGGAGTGATTCATTAGCCATCTGGCACAAAGATAGACATACAGGAGTGAGAACAGTCTCCCTTTTGTGTGCCTGTCTATTCATCCCAAAGCAGTTTTCGTCTGTAGCATTAAATATGTATGTGCATGTATGGCCGCATTGATATTAGGTGGCCATGGGGCAGAAATTTTGCGGTTAGACCCCTGTTCACCACCCCATACCATCATCTGCATATTTACCATGTTGCATCCAAGTTCCCATAAGTGCGCAGAGCTGGACACAGCAACTTTATTATTTACTCAGAGACCCAAAAGACAACCAATGCTCCTACGCTTGAATACTACTGTGTAGCTCATATGTACCATGTGAGAAAAATATGAACAAAATAAATAAGAGTTAGAACTAGATTTTGACATATCACCCACCAATTAAACCAAATAACACTCACCAGTTTGTTTGCGTAAACTTAACTTGGTTGTAATGCGTGTATTTACTTGTGGAAATGTAAACATGACTGAACTGAAACAGGTTGTACTACAAAAACTAGTTCGTACATAGAGATAAGTTGTTACTAAATATTTACACCTAGTAACTGCCAGGTGTAACTGTTGCATAGCTAACTCAGCTAGCCAACCGACGAAGCTAACATTAGCTTGCTAAAACAGAGTATGAAGTGTTTACAGTGAAGTGTAAAACAGTTACAGTAAACATAGTAGTAAAC